TAAAAGTAACAATGCAGGAAAAACATATGTAAACTGCAGAAGTGCACAATACATAAGATTATTATCACATGATTATCAAACTCTCTCAGACCAGCAACAAGGTTTACCACATTTTTTTCATATTGCTGTACATGGACATCAATTAGAAAAGTGAAATCATTCATTTTCCCTCTTTTGCCTACACTCGACTACAGCATTTCACAAGAGACGGATCACACGAGCGCCACTGATTTCTTCCTTATAAACTCCCAAGTCAGTTAATCATGGTATTAAAATACAGTACCATAAAAATTAATGCAAATATGTATGACAATTTACACTCATTCATTGGGTCTTTGTCCTGCTTGGGAGATTCCCACAGCAGCATGTGACAAGAATGAAAGCTCCTCGGCTCCTCTCCTGCATAAACACATTTAAATGTAATAACATTTCACAATATTACTGTTTACGATCAAATAAATGCAGCCTTGGTGAGCCTGAGAGACCATTATGGATTTTTTTCAGTTGACCCAACTGGACCAGTAGTTTATATTTTACTTGCCCTCTCAACATTTTTTCCCTGGCCCTCTACAAAATAAGGGATTTTTGCTGCTAAAAATAACAATGCAGGAAAAACATATGTAAACTGCAGAAGTGCACAATACATAAGATTATTATCACATGATTATCAAACTCTCTCAGACCAGCAACAAGGTTTACCACATTTTTTTCATATTGCTGTACATGGACATCAATTAGAAAAGTGAAATCATTAAGCGTGTATCCGCCTCCTCCGCCTCCCACATCCTCGAAACTTCCAGGGGAGTATGACCTCCTGGGCCAGGTGAGAAGATGGTCGTCACTTCCTCCATGGTCTCTCATAGTGACCCTACCGTCGCCACCTTCTCCTGACATCATCCCTCCGACGTAAACACTAGTGTATGGCTGGAAATCTGATGGCTGCCATGGCGGCGGTGGCGGTTTGGCCCCGTTTGGTCTCGCAGTGCTGTAGCGAGGACTGGGTTCGCCGTCTTCATACTCGGCATCGTATCCGCAGGTGCTTTCAGTAGAGCGCCCCCTATAGACAGGCCTGGGGCGTAGATCACCTGCGACCGTAGCAAGGTTGCCTGGAAGTGAATGAAGTGACCTTTTGCGCTCCATCTGCATGGCTTGGTTCCCAAGAGAGCTAATTTTGTCGGAGACCTCACGGTCATTGACTTTTACCAGGCCCCTGTCGTGATGGAACTCAACGTTGGTGTAGAATGGTTTCTCTTGGCCTGATTTTCCATCACTGGCTGACTGTGAGTTGGCCCGTTTGATTCGCTCAAAGTTCGAACGCAAGGCAGCCACCCCGAGCCCCATGCCCGGCTTGTCTTTCGGGGACGGATCTAAGGGCAACTCCTTGTCAGGTGGTGGATGGGGTCTGCGAGGGGAAACTCCACCCCTCTGTGTGGATGGCGAGAGCCCGTCGGTCTCACTGACTGGCCCTGCCTGGTGCGCCTCGAATGACGACTGTAGCTCCAATCCATCACCGTGGGAGGCTGACTTCCTGGCAGGGGGTGGTCGTGGTTTCGCTCTGGACTCCCCCACAGGCTGAAACCTGCTGCGCTCTGGCTGTCCCTGCTCCTGTGCATGGAGATGCTGAGAATCGGCAACAGCTTGGGGGTCCCCTTCGGTCATGTGAGGTGGCTTCCTGAAACCCCATCTCTGCCGGTCATAGCTCTTTCGCTCCTTGGCCAGCAGCGTTTGAAGGTAGATCATCCGGAAGCGCTCTTTGTTCACCTCCATTTCCAAGCGTCTTATGGATGTTTTGCACTTCTCCAGTTCTTGTTCGATTCCCCCAACAGACCTCAGCTCCATCTTCGGAGGCTCGGACTCTGGAAACTGTGCTTTCCAGGCTTCAATGAAACCCACAGGCTCCACCATTGTGTTTGCTCAGGCTAGTTGAAAATACCAAATTGGTAAGAAACACACGTTCAAGTAAGTGATCTCCAACTAAGTGGAATTTAGCTTAAGAAAAGGAAAATTGAGGAAAGTATGAAAAGTCGGCAGTGCCAGTTCATAATAAAGGTTATTTCTTCGATAACACTTAATACAAACGTTTACAAAACACTTCGTTCATGATTTCCCTGGAATTGTCACTAGAAGTCTCAGTCTTTCCGTACCAAAATTGTTGTCGTTGGGCTCGAGTTGTTCAACGACAGAACGACCGTTATTGAACATGTCGCGCGGAAACAATAAAGGCACACGCAGTCTCATCTCGCGCACCATTCCGACGAGACCACTTGCAGAATATCACGCGCACAGATCTCGGTCCCCAGCACAATGACAGCATCTGTTCTCCAGAGCGCACGAGATGTACTCCTTAGAATGCTTTTCAAATTAAACTGGTCGCCATAAACAAATTATACGGTCCGGTCGTGTCTGTGGCGATGTATTCCAGTTGTCCTACTTTCATAATTTAATATCTTTTTTTATCACCATTATCCCCAAAGCCCCTTTGTGCTTACGTCTGTGTAGACTGGAAAAAAAATGACTCTCCTTGATCGGTCGTTTAGTTCCCGTTGACGAAATTCTCTAAAGACGCTCACGATTATCCCATTTTGTCGCTGATAATTAGACTGTGCAGATTTGGCGTGTCTGCTGCACGTAATGCCTCTGTATGAAAGGCACTAGACGCCGCTGCTGCTGCTGCTGCAGGAAGGGGCGGGACTAAGAGACATGATTGACAGCTCTCCCAACATGAGTTCGATTTAAAGCGACAGGCTGCTTCACCGCATAGGTCAGGGAGCTTGTAGTAAGCGTGGCGTGGTTTAAATATCAAACTTTTTATTAGGGGAATGCCGTCTGTTTTGTTTAAACTGAGTCGCGTTTACATGCTCGTTCAGCCTTTTTAGAAGGAGCACACAGAAGATTGTGGAATAAATATTTTCGTAATGTCCTTATTGCACTAAATATTTCATGTTTTCGTTTTCAGTTGCTTTTTTAGATATAAATAAATAACATAATCTAACATTGTGTACAATAACAATTTGCAAATATAAAACCTTTCGTGTCTTTACTTTTGTATAACTAATAGTAGGCACTGTGAAATGTGCATTCTGTTATGGCTTCATTTATGCTATTGTCAATTTAACTGATTTTGGTCACTGGTTGCATAAAAGATGCAGCTGTGTTTATATGTGAAATAAGATGATGTCATTGTAATTGGACCGTATTTTAGCGCCAACTATTGTCTCTGTCGCCTTCAAGTGTTCAATCTTAGACACTACAGCCGTAAGGACAGCTTTATGCTTAAATACCTTCAACAAACACGTACTTATTGTTTTTGATGGAAATTTAATTAATGAACTCACGGCTTTATTGTTTCTTTTAGGGACAATAACAAGAACCACTTATTGGCCGCTTTTGAGTTTGTTATTTCTACTGACCAACGACACTGATTCAGGTAACAGACTGAATATAAGAACATCCTACTCCTTCATTTTATGGATATTTAAATTTATTAAATGGCTTTTCCTAACAGATATACATAGAGAGGCACAAAGCATGAACGTCAGCATTGGTAAAATTAACCGCAGAGTTTATTTGTAAAATGATGTGTTTAATCATATCATACCATTTAGCAGCAATGTACACAGCAAGTTGCTATATAAATATAGATCAAATTATTTGGCTAATTACAACTGAAGGCATGCATTATACTATATAATACATTACATGTATATAAAACTTTGACAATTTACACAGAAAAAAAAATGCAGCAAACTCTCCTTGCATCAGCATTAGGCAATGTAGACATTGTCATGCAGGGTAGAAAATGATGCCGATGGTGCTGCTCGCTTCCATACACACTCATTGCTCTCATTTCTCTGTCATTTATTGATCATTACTAGTGAATAGTTTTTATTATTGAGTCCACTCTTACATGTGATATGGCAGTGCAATGGTGGCTATTTTCTCTGAACTGCACATTCAGCATGCAAGTTCTGATATTCAGCAAAATGAAGCCACTCAAAACAGACATGCACAACACAGAAGCCTGAGGTTTCCCAACACAAGCAGAGGCAGAAGCAATAACTGCCAATAAAAACAAATTAAAAACTAGGAATTTTTGAATGTTTTAGAATGACATGGAAATGCTAAAGTGCACTATTAAATAAATATTTAGCATATAAGCAAGTATGACAAAGAGGAAAATAATTGTATGAGTGATTAATACAAAAGGCAACATTTACTAAAAAAAGAAGAGACTGCAACATATTTCTAATGGCAATAGTGTTTTCATTTGAGTCATTTATGCCAACATCCAAGTTAAGTTCCTGAGCAAGTCAGACCACAGTGTACGGACCATTCTAATAAAAAACTAATGGTGTATTCATATCATTCAGAGACAAGATTGAAATTATATGGGGTAAAGAAAACAATCACGCAAGTAATTTGACCAAAGTCTTTACAATATATTATATATTTCTTAAAAACAGCATATATTGCAGTGGAATATAACAGTGGAGTGTATTCAAGCTGATATGGCCATGTGTTAAATGCAGCTATAAACAGCTACAGTAGTCTAGTGGGAATTCCAACAGATTTACATGTTAGCAGGGTTGGTCCATTGTCAGAAAACTTGAAGCTTCGGGACATTGTTGTAATATGGTGAAAAGGAGCGGAGAAATCAGTGGCAGCAATGTCAGTGACACTTGCTTAAATGCAAGTCCACTGAAGGCTAAGGGAATGTGCATGATTGTTAGAAAAATACTGAAATTCCACACCAAGGGCATAGTCAGGGACATGCATCCATTTCAGCAAGCAAGAACTAGTGTGATGCAATAGACAACTAAACGCCAGAAAGCTCCATTTCATAAAAAGAAAAAGTACTTTGTACCATTCGGATATATGTGCTGCATGTGTACAAATATACAGGCCACTACCAGACTGGCTGGTGAGGGCCAAACAGGAACCCCTTTTCAAGGAAGCCCCTCCCAGCTGTCAATCTTGTGCTCAGCTATGCAACTAAATCTCTGTACATTAATTTCATTTATTCAAGTATATTTGCTCCTAAAACTTGCCGTGTTGCATCACAGGAACAGACCAGCTAGTAAAATGAAGACACGCATTTTAATTCAAATGGTTCATGAGTGTATTTTCCTAAAAATAGAGAAAAAGGTAGCATGAAACATTTTGGTTTTGCATTGTAAAAATCATGTTTTCAATGCAACACCTAAACCTTTGCTGGTTACATTTTCTACTCCTTTGTCTCTGGCCTTACCCACTAAACGGTAACATTTACATCTTTTGTCCACCCACCTCTCCCCAAAACAAAACCCCTAAATTAAGTTAATGCAAGTTCAATCAATTATAAAATACAGTGAAAACAAACAAACAAAACTTAAAACAGATTAGTTAGGGCCAAAAGAATCTAAATTCTGTTTATCATCAAATAGAGGCAAACCTCATGCATTAATGTGTACAAGCGGTGTAAAGCTAAGTGGGGGGAAGCAACCAGAGAGAGTCTAATCTGACAGTCCTGAGGTAGCTGTACTCTGCCTAATGCAGAAAAACTGGCTGTACTAATCAAAAGTGTCAGGTAATAGTGGAAACACAATGTATACCCATAAAAATGGAAGTTATTACACATGGGGAAAGACATACAGGTACAAATCATAAGTGAAAAACCACACAAAATGCATGCAAAATACAGAACATGCAGCTTTCATCTGAGGATTTGACTGTGAAGCATTCACACATTCAGTCCAGCACTCTCTTTCCCATGCTGCTTTGAAACACCATGCTAGTCCATTGGCTCTGAGCGATGTTCACGCCGAAGACACAAAGGTAAACATTAGTAAACAGTTCGGTCTTGTTCTCTCTCTCTCTTTCTACCCTACCCACTCTGCTCTCTGTTAGCAAATTGAACAAATAACAACAAATGAACAATTGCATAAAATAGTGTTAAATGTCTGTACACAAGCACTTTTTTTTCCCCATTCAGCCATTTAAACATAATTTGGGGCCAAACCAAATTGGATATCATATTAATTGATACTGGTTTGAAATAAGACATTAAACAAATGATTAAAAATGCAATAACAAAAAGAAACCAATGGTCACTATACTTGAAGACTTCAGGTCTGTATGGTCTCCTCAATCCCCACTGGACATGTTAAAAAAAAGGTTATATTTCTATATCACGGTTATTTTTTAGTTAATCCTGTCCTTCTCATACACATTCTCTGTTGCGGAGGCACACTTTAAACGCACAACCACACACACAGACACAGGTACACACTATCTACACACATCTGTGCACATTTCAGTCAAGACCAGAACATTTTGGCCAAGTTAGTGTCAGTGCTGTAGATCCACAGCACCAGGGGGAGTGCGAGAGCCACGAAAGGCCAGGAAATGCCCTCTGTGCAGGTGCTGAGCAAGCAGGCCTTGCCCTTGGGACTGTCCAGGTCTTTGGGCTTGTCCAGGTAGTTTCTGGCCACAAATTTGAGCACTTCGTCCAGCAAGATGACAGGCAGGGAAATCTTCAACACCGTAAGCCACTGGGTCAAGTTCAGTGGGGTGAGCACCAGGGGGAGTGCGAGAGCCACGAAAGGCCAGGAAATGCCCACCGTGCAGGTGCTGAGCAAGCAGGCCTTGCCCTTGGGACTGTCCAGGTCTTTAGGCTTGTCCAGGTAGTTTCTGGCCACAAATTTGAGCACTTCGTCCAGCAAGATGACAGGCAGGGAAATCTTCAACACCGTAAGCCACTGGGTCAAGTTCAGTGGGGTGATCTGGAAGATCATCTGTAGAGAAAACAGAGTCATTTGAACAATTATACAGAGTAAATAATAAATGGACAATTTACTAAACTCAGAACAGTTTGATCACAAAACAATACAAATACATAAATTCACTTAGAACTGTTAAAAATTGGAATTCATTCAATTCTACAAAGACTGCAAAAAAAGAGAGTAAAAGAACCAATACACTGAAACTGATCATCTTATTGATCAAAACTGATCTTACCGGCAGGGGCTCCACATAAAGGATAAGGAAGTGGAGGGACATGGAGAGGCAGATGGCTCCAAGCAGCCACACATTCTCCCAGGGGGGCATGCGAAGCAGAGATTGGTTCTCAGAAACACTATGACAGGACATCAACAAGATAACATTGTGAATTTAAGAGACTGAATATTTACACAATCAACCACTTATGCTGTTAACACCTGGTATTAAAATCCATTTCAGCTGATAGTGTAAATGGGGTTTAAATGTATTGTCCCTCATCAAAAAACAGCATTTGTAACAAAAATGTCTTTTTGTCACTTTTGATCAAATAAAAATTTTTTTTTTTTTTTTTTTACAAAACTGTCTAATATTATCCCTAATTTATCCTTTATTAAATTATATGATACACTCATGTTTCTGATAACAGAATACTTCCCAATTGTGCCATTAAAAAAGCATTTTCTGTAAAGCTGTTTTAAGACAATGTATTGTGAAAAGCACTATACAAATAACCAACTAAATTTAACTGAATTTAATAAAATGCTTTATCAAAATTGTTAATGGAAAAAAGATGCAAGTAATTTATGCAGTCACAAAATAAAAAAACTCCCTTTAAAATCTGACCACATATTGTTACAAAAAAGTTACTCCCAGGTATATACAGCATTGTCTCGTTCTTTGTGATCGGATGAAAATAGGATGTAAATAGGAACTTAATTGACCATTCGCAAAAAGCTTGATTGACAGACGATCTGACCAGTCATAACGCCGAATCCGCCATCTTGTCCGACAAACAAACCAGACAGGAGAGTAAATTAACTTTGGTGGACTTAAACTTAAATTGTGTGTATTGATGTCTTTCCACGGTTGAAATAAAATACATTATGATGTTTATTTTGTGCTTTAAGTAAATATGAAAAGACGATCAGTTCACGTGTGCCGCTAGAACTGAGGCAATACAGCGATCTGTCACGACACATTAAAGAGCCACAAAACGGTATTTTTGTTTGAATTTCTTTAAAAAAATACAATTTTTTTTAAAGCTGAGAGCTTGTTTCACACAAGAAGTATCCTGCTCTGTCTTGTCTGTCGGTGTGTTTTCGGTTTCCTCTTTGCTCCGTGATGTATTTTTTACTGCGTGAGAACATGGTGTGTAATGTGAGAGAGGCATGGCTTGTCGGACATAGAAACAGTAACTAAGGAGGGCAGGTTTTTGCGAAGGGTCAATTGGGGCATTTTCAGGGATAAGCTGTTCCTTTATTGCAGCGCACTTCCGATACTGACCTGTTAAGGGCGTTGCACATCTCAATGGTGACTAGTACAGACAGCGCCATGGTCATGGGATAGGGAGACTCGAACACGTCACACTTCAGACCCTCAAACTCAGGGTTGTCTGGTGCACACTGAAGGAAGTGACTCTGTGGGGATAAAAAAAATGACAGAGGCAAATTTAAACATTAGAATGCATTTGTTTGAGAAAACAATTTGTATTGAAATGTAAGGGGATTTTCTAACCAGTTGATAGATGGTGACTCTGGGCCCATCTTCAGCAGCAATGAACCACCACGCAGCAGCACCTACAGTAGCAGCACCCACATAACCTATAGGGTGACATGGAGAACAATGTGTCAAATCTCACTTTCGTTAGCCAAAAAAAAAAAAGTTCAAACTAAAGTAAAAATAAATAAATGTGATGCACTCACAGCCAATGGCCAGGTATCTGAAGAAGAGCCATCCAGAGATGAGGGGTTCTCTGGCATTGCGAGGGGGTTTGCTCATGATGTCCAGGTCGGGTGGGTTGAAGCCCAGTGCAGTCGCAGGCAGACCATCGGTCACCAGATTCACCCACAGAAGCTGAACTGGAATCAGAGCCTCGGGGAAGCCCAGAGCCGCCGTTAAGAAAATACTGCCAGAGAGAATACACATTGTGAGTTATGCGATTAGATAACAACTGGAACAATGTCAAAAAGACCTGGGCAGTGATCTGAGTTTGCTCAAGGAATAAATTTCACTGTGCTGCCATTTATATAGTATCACTTTTAGGATGGAGACTAAATTGTGCCATTCTGGCACATATAGGAAGATTCATAAACCTTGATTAAACAATTTAGTGAAGAACATAATATAACAAACATTTTGTATTATAACCACTCTGGTATGTAACTCCCAGGGCCTTCTCATTGAAAACCCTGTTTAAACACTACCATTAATTATTCAAGTGATCACAAGTGACAGTAAAGACATTTATAACGTTAAAAAAAAAATAAAAAAATAAAAAAAAATATATATATATATATTATCCAGGGTCACAAATGAGCATATTAGAATGATTTCTGAAAGACTGAAGACTGGAGTAATGGCTGCTGAAAATTCATACATTTTACATTCATTTTAAAATACAGTGGGTACGGAAAGTATTCAGACCCCCTTCAATTTTTCACTCTTTGTTATATTGCAGCCACCACTAGGGATACACTGCTATTAACATTAATTCTATTAAAATCATATATGAATCTTTTAATTATTACACAAAAAGATTCGGTAACACTTTAGTATAGGGAACAATTCTCACTATTAACTAGTTGCTTATTAGTATGCCTATTACTAACATACTGGCTGTTTATTAGTGCTTATAAAGCAGATATTCTGCATGACCATATTCTACATCCCTAATCAAACACAATACCTAAACTTAACATCTACCTAACTAACTATTAATAAGCAGCAAACCAGGAGTTTGAGGCAAAAGTCGTAATTAATGGTTTGTAAAATAGCGAGAATTGGACCTTATAATAAACTGTGACCAAAGATTCTATAAAAAATATATAATAAATACAACTCTAAAAACTAAAATCATTTTAAATGCTTCAAGTGATCACAACATTATAATTTGCTGCATGAAAAACAGACCTTTTGAGATTTGCAAGATTTCTTTAACAGCATTATTAAATTAAAAGTGACCATTAGTTGTCAGAAAAGGTCATTAATATACTATATCAGTCAATACAGATCACATATGATAAATTAATATTTGTTATTTATATTAATTATACGTATATTAAAAATAAATCACATACTGTATTTTTTAAACAAGTGACTTATAGAGGTTTCTATAAAACTACTAAATACTAGAAAATACTTAAAAAATACTGGAAAATGTTAAACAAAAGACAATTGTATTAAAAGTTTATTTTAAAGCAACTTCATTCATTAAATCACATTCATCTGCTAGAACAAACAGTTCTAGACATTAGTTCCTACCTTCTGTGTGTGAACAGGTGTTTTACATCCTAGCTGTTACTACATTGTGTATTTCAGCACAACAAGGGTGCTGCATTTACCAGAACATGTTATTTACAAACCTCATTGTAATCCAGAGAGGAGTCATTGCACAGAGCACAGATGGTGGCCATTTCAACCAGAGCGTCATACTGGGAGCACCAGACTGGTTTACCCTCATGAAACCTGGAGTGTGAAAAAAAAAGAAAAGAGGATGATCAACAGAGGCGGCTAATGCACTTTGAGTTACCAGTGTGCATGTGGGGCAGTAAAACTCACACTTGTCCATCAGGGGCGTATGTGGAGCCAGTAATGGTGAACTCTTTGAGAGAGCAGCTGTTTCCATTTGCCTGATCAACAATGAACATCTGCAACAAAAAACATAAAAAAATGTAAAAAAAAAATCAAGCAAGATCTCTACCAGCCGGTGGCAGAACAATCCGCTACAGAACATGTCTGATGTTTGAAAACATCCCTACTCCACCTGACCTGGATATACCAGCTAAACAGATGTAAACACTTTATATGACACTCACTTACGAGTGAACCTGAGTTCAGAGGGGCTTTAAAACCCCTCCAAAAATCCTGAAACATAAGCAAATGAGCATTAAGGATATTTTTAAGCACTGAGGACAATCAGATCCCAAGGATTTGTCAAGACAGAGAAGAGAAGAGAATAAAAGAGAAGAGAGTGAGTGGGATGGTAAAGTGGAACAGTGTTCCTGCTGTAGTGCTAAAACCCAGCGGACAACAGTCGAAAGATGGAGACAGACGTGTGTGGGGGAGAGAGAACAAGACAGGCATTAATCTCTAAGGCGCTGGGCACTGCTCAGAATGAAGGCATGATTAGCAGAAAAACTCAAATATGAAACATATCTAAGCTATTAGATAGTGAGAAACGGGGAAAATGTGATAGAAAGCTAAATCCAAACTAGTTAACACTTTCTCAAGAAAAAGCTAGAGGTGCTTGGGTGGCAAAACACTCCAATACCATGGTGCTTCCATGCGATTTTTATCACGCTTCTGTGCACTTTAAAAACAACGTTTCTTTGACATTTACATGACCTTCACAATAATTTGAGGAAAGATAATTTCACCAGATGAGAACGGAGTCAGTAATGGATCATTCGGATCATTTTGAAACCAGAACCGGTTTGAATGATTCCCTGAAAGGAGCAGACTCGAAAGAACAATCTGGTTCTATATGTTTCTGTTTGGATGAACTAGGACTATTATTTTGACAGCACTGGGACTTTTATTCTGAAAGCGCCAAAAGCATTTACCAGAATGCATTGTGCACAGTTGCTTAAGGTGCTTACTTCCTTTTTATTTCATGTTTTAAATTAATTTATCTGTGAAAATACAATAATAGGATTACAGAATCAAGAAGTTGCTATCTAAAGTAAACTAAATGGCAAATTTTCAAATGCATTTTTTTTTTAAAGTGGTCTGGCAATATGACGTAAAAAAAATATATAATTTTAATTGTAGCTTGTGTGTGAAATTAAATGTATATCATATATCAGCCACCCTGCTTCTCAGCATTAATGTCAAAAATCCATATCGGGTGAACGTAATGGCGCCTTAATAAGATGCAAGATTAGTGGTATCGTGTGTGTCTGTAGCGGAAACAGTGCAGGATGACTTACACATTTAATACAAGTACAAGTTTAATACTTAGGGTTAGGGTTAACAAGATTACATTCCTTCTGTTGAAACGTGGCTAATTTTAGATGCACCCTTCCCATATAGTATTATTTTAGACAGTCGAGGCAAACGGAACATTTAGGGTAAAGATTATTTTGGTTTAGCCACATCCTGAGCATTCACAGAAATCATCTATTAAGAATAAAAACAAGTTTTCAAATGCATTTTTTTTAAAAGTGGTCTGGCAGTATGACGTAAAAAAAAAATATAATTTTAATTGTAGCTTGTGTGTGAAATTAAATGTATATCATATATCAGCCACCCTGCTTCTCAGCATTAATGTCAAAAATCCATATCGGGCGAACGTAATGGCGCCTTAATAAGATGCAAGATTAGTGGTATCGTGTGTGTCTGTAGCGGAAACAGTGCAGGATGACTTACACATTTAATACAAGTACAAGTTTAATACTTAGGGTTAGGGTTAACAAGATTACATTCCTTCTGTTGAAACGTGGCTAATTTTAGATGCACCCTTCCCATATAGTATTATTTTAGACAGTCGAGGCAAACGGAACATTTAGGGTAAAGATTATTTTGGTTTAGCCACATCCTGAGCATTCACAGAAATCATCTATTAAGAATAAAAACAAGCCTGGAACTAACTTCAATTTTTATAAGGCAGAAAACATTGAAATCAGCAGCGCCACACATTCGGCTTACATGAGTGTACAGTTCAGCACACAGCGAAGGAGCTGCTGTGGATCACAGACAGATCTCACACACAAGGTCAGTTATGCAACACTACTGCAAGTAACTGACTACCGCATACTAATCAGCTCTCACAGTAAAGGTGGAAAAGAACAGAGAGAGAAGAACAGATGAGGGGGACGACAAAAGTTGAGAGGAGAAAAGTACAGGATGAGGGGGAGATAATAAAATAAACCTTTGAAATGAATCCTGTCAAACAGGAAAACAACATAAAGGAAATCCAGAGGCAAACTGGGGTGGTCCAACACAAGGTCATGAGGAACACAAACATAAAACAAAATTATTAATCATGCCAATATCAAAGCTGCAGCTGAATAGTTTTCCCACGGCTTTCATTTGAGACACATACTAATGCTAAATTAATACCATCATGAACATGTCTTTTTTTATTCATGAGTATTTTCAGCCAATTGTCTGCAGTAATATTGCTCTCGGTTCTTGGCTGAACCCCAGCCCGCAAATTTCTAAACAATAACAGACTCACTGTTGCCAAGGATTGAAATTATGGGCTAAACAGAATTTGTAATAGCTTGTAAGTTATTATTTCCTCTTTGATGAGCCCTGAAGCTGCTCACTTCAATCGAGTGTAACATCCCCAGCACTCTTACCCTGCAAACGGACATCTGATTGGTGGTCAGCGTGCCGGTCTTGTCGGAGCAGATGACGGAGGTGCAGCCGAGGGTCTCCACCGAGGGCAGAGAGCGTACGATGGCGTTCTTCTTGGCCATGCGACGGGTACCCAGAGCCAGACAGGTGGTGATGACGGCGGGCAGGCCTTCGGGGATGGCGGCCACAGCCAGTGCGACAGCGATCTTGAAGTAGTACACGGCCCCGCGGATCCACGAGCCGCCGTGAACGGGATCGTTGAAGTGTCCGATGTTGATGATCCACACAGCGATGCAGATGAGCGAGATGACCTTGGAGAGCTGCTGGCCGAACTCGTCCAGTTTCTGCTGCAGCGGCGTGCGCTCCTGCTCTGTGGAAGCCATCTCATCACGGATTTTGCCGATTTCGGTGTTCACGCCTGTGGCAACCACTACACCCACTGCTTTGCCTGCAGCAATGTTGGTACCCTGTAAACATGACGTCAAAGGGGTGTTTTAAAGCTATAAATTATGATCATCCTGAACATAAACAACCTAATATCTCCTTTAAGTTTACTAGGAACTTAAAAGTTTTCTGTGAGAAAATTAGTCCTAAACCATGCAGATAAAGATGCACAAATCACACAATATTCAAGATTTTTTTTTTTTTATTAAATTGGAATCTACCAGCATTGGATATTTCACTGTGTATGATTATTTGCTTTATATTTATATCTAGATTACCCTTGCCATCATTTATAGTTTTTCTTAAAAACATTAATAATTTAATAATAATAATCATTTAAATGTAACTTTTACATTTGTATTATAATGTTGTGATGCCTGTATCATTAGTTTTTAACAGTTTTCATTTTTATTTTAGACAACAGTATACACTTTAATATCGGCCATTATGAGCTGTAACATGAAAATAAACATCAGCTCATTAGTTTCAACCATAATTTTAAAATCTCGAAATACAAATTCCTTACATCTGGACAAAAACAACCCTTTTGCTTACTTGACAGTAATAAATGTTTCTTGAGCAGCAAATCAGAATCATCAGAATGATTTCTGTAAGGAGGATCATGTGACACTGAAGACTGGAGTAATGGCTACTGAAAATTCAGCTTTTCCCATCACAGGAATAAATGACATTTTATAATACAAAAAAAAGTGATTTTTAAATGTAATAATGTATCACAATAAAACAATTTTTAATCAAATAAATACTGCCTTGGTGAGCATTAGAGACTTATTTTAAGGACATTAAAGAAATCTTACCAAGCCCAAACTTTAAACATTACCGTACTTTAATTTTTTTGGGGGGGAAGAAAATCTAACTCTAAATAGGAGCACAAATAATAACACGGTCTGCATTCTCAGGCACCACAAATAATAAGCTCACAGCAGTCATCAGAGGTGTGACTTACAGAGAAGAGCATGTTCTTCTTGTCCTGGTTCACAGCACGAGGGTCAGGGACAGGGTCTGTATGCTTGATTACTGACACAGATTCTCCTGTGAAGATACAGATGACAAGTTGGTGAAATCAAAATTCTACTACTACCACCTGACTGCCCTCTAAGCTTAGAGTAGTACAAGAGGATCAGGTTAGTAGTTCATCAGGCAGGAGGTCAAATTTAAGTCCTTGATGGGCATTTGTGTAATTGCTTAAACGGTTCAGTGCTGGTCAGGATGGCAAAGAATCCCAACAAAAAACAGCCATGGATGGGGCAGCTAAAAGATGTGGAGAAGTCGAACAGACCATTACCAATTAAGGCAGTGAAGCAAGACCTGACTCCTACAAGAGTACTTCCTTTCTGTCTTTCCCCCTTACTGGACTGCAGAAACTGAGCACAGCTGACCTCCCTTTACAGTAAGAAGCACTGAACCTTCTCAGAAAAAAAGACGAAACTTATTTTTCCACCTCATATCAACTACTGAACTGACTTTATAAGGTGGCTTACTGTGGCAATGTTTCCTGCACTGCTGTTCAATGGAATGTCTGCGCTGCTGAATTTACTGCAACAATAGAAACTTTATTTAACCAAAGTTTTGTGATTAGATAAAAAGATACTGTGGAATTATACAAATAAAAAAAAATAGACTAAACATCTTTGATTGTGTTGTCTTCAAAAATCTTCAAAAAGTCTGCAAAAATCCTGGGTAGAAAAATAGTCATAAAGTCACATCACACTGGACACACAAAACAACAAATGCTATATGCACTTCACTTACTTCCATTCATGTTCATGCAAATCCAGGAGAAATGCAAGCACATGAGTAGTAAGTCTGCCTTTTACTAAGTTTAGTGAAATCTAGGCAGATATTCGCATTACGAAAAGATATTTGAGCGCAACATCTTATATTAACCTCTCAGAGGAGTACAAACTAAGAATACAAATTTCAAAGTCACATATAGACTGCTAGAGAAAAGTGAAGTAGATTCAACATTTTGAATTCAGAATTTGTAGTATTTAAACATTTTGAATTTATTTCATGCTACATGGGATTCGTTATTTATTAAAAACAGAATCCCTAGAGTGTGATATCATATACTGTTGCTGATAAAACTATTAGTATTTTCACCTGCGTCACCTTCAAAAAGTCAACTTGGATTAATAAAACCATTGTTCTCACCTGTTAGAATGGACTGGTCCACCCTCAGGGTCGTTGACTTGATTGAAGTCAAGCGAATGTCAGCAGGAACTTTGTCACCCACTAAAAGGAAACAAAAACATGCTGTTAGATTGAGATAAATCCAGTGCTTGAAGTGAACAAGGCCAGCCAAAATAACACTGTCATGGCGTTCCAAATTTATAAGAACATATCAAAAAGCAATAAAAGAGCCAGAACACTTCAGAAGAAAGGTACAAGCAAAGCAAAACAGCTGTACCACCGATGACAGTAAAGGTGCCACTACACTTTCAAATGTCAAGTTGAAACCATGAACCACCAAGAAAGAAGCTCTTGAATCTCAAGTATCGGCTTTACACCTAATGGCTTGGCAATTGACGATAATGGATTGTGCTTTCAAAGGATGAAATGAAGGCCAAAAATACACCACTCCTCTAAAAAGAAAACAGTACAAACCATGTTATCATGGGGTATAGTTGGGTTTCAATTTCAACAGTTTTTTTCAGAAACCTTTTAAGGCGCACTTAAGTTCTTAAGCAAGCTTTACAAAACAAAATATCACAAGAATTATGGCAATGCTTCATCTCATCCAGGCCTTTTTAAGTCACACAGTAGAATCATCTCAGCATCTACAGACACTGTTGTGAATCTGCAGATCACCAGCACTTGGCACCTATACTCGAGAAAAGCCTCCAACAACATTTTTCTGGACAGGACCTACACTGAAGAGGTTAATGAACAGCATCAAAAGCTTTGAAACGTTCTTGTTCGACTTGGACATGGACAAAAATAGACTCCGCTTCACTCTTTCCACAAACAGGGGGGTTTAGTAATTGCTACTAGGAAAAGAGCAAATGTAAATACCTTAATCTTTTCCAAACAAATGTCTTAACGAGTAAGACGGCGGATTCTTGAGCTCGCTAAAATGCTTCACGTTTATTAGTCATTTGAGATGGCGTCCGTTTGATTCTGCTGCTTGACGTGTAAATAGAGTTTATGAAAGGCAAAGGAAATGACGAAGAATCTTTTCACAGGATGTTCTAGGTGGAAAGAACTTCAAATAACCTGCGGATAAGGTCCTGGATGCTTTGCCTTTTCTGGACTAAGTTTTCACCAACATGCAAGCGCACTGATAGGCCTCTATGCCCCTTTTAATGGAGTGGAAGACATGACTGGTGGTATCAGAACAACAACCGACACAGGTCCAAAAAATGGAAAAGCTATTCTGATATGAACTATGGTGCATGGTCAAGCTAACACTCAATGTAAACAGATTTTGTTTGAGATTAGACTATTAGTGCATAGAATGTAGAGATACTTACAAACTATATATAGTTGACATCGCACATTTTGTGCAATATATTACATGTATTGCCACTGAACGTGCTTAATTAGATTTATACACCACACACTTAAGACGGTGAAGTGCACTCAGTGCTGCTCTAAGAGGGCTCTAGGTATTAAAAATAAAAACTATGATCCAATTTTTAAAAATACACATTCAAAATGTCCCTAAACTAAACTAAAGAATGTGGAACATAATTCCGATATATAGCCCAAGTTAGAAAAAGGTCATGTAACAGGGTAACCTACTTTTAGGTAGACAAGGAGAGAAAGTCTTGTAAGAATAGATCGTAGAAAAATCATTTTTGGACCGTTTAATATTTTAATAACACCGGTTAATGGCAAAGAGTTACAAAGTTAAAAACTGCACAAGCCTCGGGCCTTTTAATTAAAAGAAAGAATGCTCAAAAACATCTTCAAATGCCTGCTATGCCATAAACCTTAGAGTTTTATAATCGATCCCTTGATGATTTAATCTAATGGTGTTCAGAGAGACAAGTACCAACCCAACACATGAAAATCAAGGTCACTTTCACTCAATCAAAACAAGGAAGTTAAAAAGCTAACTGAGAGCAAGTGGTTGTGTCGTATTTGCTGCTAATGGGTGGTTGGAAACAAACTACTCCTCAATTACTTAAAGGAATGCTTCAGCTACTTCCTCTTCCTGAGAAAGAGCATAGGACCTCATTTGGTTGTGATACCAGTTGCAGCAATTCCAAGTGAAAGTTATTCACTGGTAAACCATGTGGTCTTAACTCCACAAGATATTCACCTTTGGATGAGCAAGCCATTCAAACAGAAAGAGACTACTGTGAAATAGTCAAATAAATTACAGATGACTTAAAAGTCGCCTAGATGGTAGCTATAACTATGTTTTTAGCAATTTCTATGTGGTTGCTAGGGTGTTATGGGTGGTTGCTAGGTGGTAAAGTCAAAGGAGCCAACAAAATCTTCTATCCCAGGTTTATTAATAATAAAAAAATAAAAACCACAACACACACCAATCAAAACAAAACAAAACAAGCAATAGTGCTCTTAGCAAATGCAACTAAAAATGAAAGAAATTTAAGGGAGTAGTTCACTTCCAGAATTTAAATTTCCTAATAATTAAAAAATCCTGGAATGTTTTCCTCAAAAACCTTCATTTCTTTTCGACTGAAGCAAGAAAGACATGAACATCTTTGATGACAAGGGGGTGAGTAAATAATCAGGAAATTTTCATTCTGGAAGTGAACTACTGCATTAAGCAAGCATGCATCACTGGTTGACAGTAGCTCGTATTTTCTTGGGAAAACGAAAGGGACACCTTGACCGCTAACATGTTAGTAAGCAAACTTTAGGGAGGCCTAATCCCTTCTTCAAAAGGAGCATTAACATTTCCTTGCATTGTCGCTGATTGCCTTTGGCTGGTTTGCGTAAAGAACGCTCCCTCCCAGCAGTCTTAATTTGCTGGAGCTCCCTTGGGGGCTCTTCTCAAGGGAACCGACAGTGAGAGGCCGCAAGTGCAGTGACGACCCGATCACGTAAACACACAGGGCCGGATATGCTCCCTGTCATACAGACAACTTGTCCTCCAAAAGCCTGTTCCCACTGTTGCCGATGGGACCGAACGGGTGGACAGCAAGAGAGGACAAAGAGCAGAACACCTCCCCTTTAAACACGAGGAGAGAGAGAGAAAAAGAAAAAGAGAGCAGCCATCTGGCTCACTGATTATTTATCTCATCAAATCTGGTCAACTCTTAACTGCACATCCTGTCTCTGTCCTTCATTCACGCTCTTGCTCGCTCTCCACCGGGACGGGGTGGTCGTTTAGGCTCCAGGCTGCAGTAAGGTCATGTCGCACAGTTGTACGCACAATGAAACGCCCTACCTGAGCGATTGCAGAGCAACCTCGATTTAGTATTTCTAAGGACGATTCCCACGAGTCAGAGCCGTAACCATAGGAAAGGAAACAATCTTTGTTCATTAGCAGAGCGGTACGGTAAATTTAGAAGCTGGAGGATTGCAAAAAAAAAAAGTGTAGCTGAGAGGAAGATGATATTAATTTGTGGACAGGAAGTAATGCAATGAATATAAAACCACAAAAGCTAGTCTACATTGGCTGCTTGTCACTTTCTCCCCGACGTGACCGGCATTCGCACTGCAGTGGTTAGCATGTGGCAAAAGCAGTTGGATAATGTTTCTAATGCTTTCCATTACCCCTTTTTAAGGTCAATTCCTCAAGTGGCTTGCATCAGCATTGTGCTGTACTAGTGCTGGGCGGTATACCGGTTCATACTGAATACCGGTGTTTATTTTTGTTATATGAATTTTTAAAATACCGCAATACCGGTTTATGTCGCTTAAACAACGTTAGGAACGCGACACTGTTTGAAAGAAGTCCCTTTTCACTGTTTCACTGTGGTGAGGGAACAGCTGTATGTGTTACTAAGCGTGAAAGTTCCGAAACTGAAGCTGTAGAACTAATAGAACGTAAAAAGAAAAATACAGTCTAAAAAAAAAACGGTATAATTTTGAAAAATACCGTGATATAAATTTTTGGTCATACCGCCCAGCACTATGCTGTACTGTATTCCTTTGGGTCAAACAGGGACTTGGTCTACACTTGTCCCCATCCCCCAGCATCCTCCTGCGATTAGTCTCCTTGGCTAATGTCTCACTACACTGATGTCCCTCAAGGTGAGGCCTCGATTAAGAGAAGAGTGACTGAGAAAGAGAAAAAGTCAAGAGGCAACACCTAAATGTGACCGATTCAGTGGTTGCGAAAATCAAATGTTAATGTGCAGTTATAGTAAAATATTAGATTTTATACATTTTGGCGATAATACAAAGCTCTTTTTGCTTAATGTTTCGAGTTTGTTTAATTGTCTGTTTTAAGACAGAAGACCAAATTTGCAATATAACAGAAGTAGTGACAGATATTTTCTTCCATATTGATTAAGTAACAAGCGCAAAAAGTTGTATAATAATTAAACATGTATGGATGAATTGCTCACAATTAGATCAAAAAGATAATAGATGGGGTAAATTTTTATTTCATGCTGAAAAGTCATCAGCATGACTGAGGGAATAAGATCCACATACAAACCTGTGTGACCTGTTTAAGCGCCATGGCTCTAATCTGTCAACAGTTACCCAAGGAGGCGTTTACACTGCAAAAGAAATCCTAATTTTCCCAGGTTAAACTCCTTAAACTCTCAAAATAAGATACATTTTCTTGAAAAGCAAAAGATAATGCCTGTTTCACAGATTGCAGCTTTCACATGTATTTTGTCTTATTGCACTGCTGGTCCACTTGTTTAAGTTATCAAGTTAAAAACAAGAAGAAAATCTGCCAGTGCTGTAAACAAAATATTAGTACATTCAAGACAGGGCAGCCAGATCTGGGTAACAAAACCAGCCCATTGCCCAATCAAAAGTAGCCCAAAACTAGCCCAATGGCCAATTAAAGTAGTCCAAAAAGTAACCCAAACATCAAAAATAATTATTACGTAATCTTATTTTAACAATTTCTAGAAATATTTTCATTGGAAGTCAAGTCAAAAATATCTAATTAAAGTGTTTTGCAGTGTAATGCCTGAAGAAAGCTAACAGGAATCCATTAGCATTCCTATTCATAATTTGATTCAATTTCCTGAAACTACCAATTTCTGGAACTCCCTATGAAGACAACATGTTCTCAAAACAGAACTGCTAAAAAAGGCATAATGGATGACGACTTTTCAGTTCAGCATTAGCAG